AAAAAGGGAAGCATGAAACAGAAAAATTTGGAAAAAATAGCTTTGCTTAAAGCTAAAGTACCGATTAGGCTGTGACAATCCGCTAATCAAATGTTCTGGGAGTTAAATTCCTGGTAGGTTTTTTGGATCCTTCATGGTTATGCAATAGTAGTTAGTAGTACAGAAAGCACAATCTTTTCTTAAAATATTTCTGCATTGGAGATGTCCGATGCACTCAAAATTCCTTCAATAACACGAAGGGTCAAATGGTCACTTAAGGTTGTTTGGCAGTAAGCACTAATGAAATATTCCAATATGTTGATCCTAATTGTTGCAATTTTCATAGCGTCGCATATCATTGAATTATTTTCTGTCGGTGCATCTATTCTGTGAATTTTGTTGTGACAAAGTCTTCTGCATCCTATTCGACAGTAAAAATAAAGTTTAACCGATGTTTCCAGGCTAATGCTCTGCTTTGTGAGCCGCCTCTCGACAACCGGTAACCCGACTACCCCTCAGGCCAGGGAGCGAGTTGACTGACTTGGCTTCTCTTCAACCACATCCAACAGATCCACTTACGTTGATTTTTTACCCTCATCGTTTAGTAGTATGATGACCGCCACACAGAAACCTGAGCAAATTTTTAATTCCTATTTGCATTCCGATAGAGAGGTTTACATATATGAGTATTAAGTGATCTCAAGCCGGAACCACACAATCTAATTGAATTTTGTGAGAACTGTTTAATACGCATCATTGATTTCATCCTGACTGTTAATGGGTCACCTTAAGAACTGCTGCTTTGCCCATCACGCCTGACCAGGGCAAAACTTTAGAAAACCTAATAACCTGAATTTGGTAGTAAGAGCTTGGCATTTGTGCGCATTTAAAACAGCCTTTCGGCAACTTTTTTTAAATATCAAATCCGACAATTAACTAACGCATAAACTTGGGGGGAATTCTCGCTAATGCACCACCACCATAATATTTTCTTAAGAAGTGATCAACCATTTCACTTTAGAATACGTAGGTCTGCATCTAAATGCTCTGCATGTTCGGACAGCCAAAAGCAGTTTGCTGAGACTACGAGTGATACTGCAGAAACCTTTGTATCGAAGTGTGCCAGTATAGTTTCCCTGCATAGTGCTTTTAAGTCCAGACCTAATTTGTAGCATCCTTTGAGTTTCAACTACCAAAAATTTAGGGATTTAATGGATTGGATGCAGTACGACTGCAAAGTTTGACCACTATTGTCAGTGAATTCTCATGTTAATAACCTGTTGATGGAACAAAAACTGACATCTTGAAGTACAATCTCACGTTAAAAACACTGCCATGAAGCCGTAAGTGGAATATGTCGTGTTGTAATAAAAGCTGTGCCCCTTCAAATCGAGGACAAGCCTCTCCGATTACCAAGTGGAGTACTCGGTTATCAGATTGAGTGTCATGTGCTTTCGTAGTTTGATAATGCAATAACAACTTTACATTTGTTCTACATTTTTGTAGGTATAGAAAAATTCTCGTTCAACTCAATATTCGGATTAAATTGCCATTTCTCGAAAGCGAATGTTCTTCGAGTGTTAATGCCCCCATCCAAATCCTACTTTTAATTTTATAGTAAGCAGATATTTCCAGTAATGTCACTAAGATGCGTTCAAAGCATAATGATCTGACGGTTCAAGAATTAGTTCGGGCTTTCGATATTGGTTCCATTTGCCTTGCGTAACCCGATGCCGTGGTCCTTTCATATTTTGTGAAGGATATTAATCGACCCTCCATATGGGTCGATAGAAAACGAAATTTACTGAAAGGGGTAAAAGACCATAGGAGGTAGTGAATCAAGCATTCATCATGACCCCAGGTATCAGCCAAATATGACAGACACGCCCGAGAATATGTAGGTGCACAAAGGCGTGGACGTGAATGAGGGATGAAGCAAACGTTAAGTCTATAACTGCCTTTCAGCCTAGTTCTACCATGGTGAACTCAAGATCCTCGGTGTATCAATATAGTTTTACTCCAAAATTGGTCTACAACATCTTGATTTCTCAAATAAATACCTGTCCATCGCATATATACCTCTTTGATAAATTTAAAAATTATATTAGTAAATCATACTGGGGACCTGTAGATTCACATTTATGAACTGCTTCACTGGAAATTAAATGTGGAGAACCAATCTTATTTCCTAGTAAAGATAGAAAACGCATAAATTGACCAGTGCCAAATTGGATGGCACTGATATGCACACAAAAATACTAGCTAATTAAAAAATCCATCAAATCTTGGGGGGGTTAGATGTAGCGCCTGACCTCTGTTCATGAAATTTGCTATTGGTTAATAAGCCAAGGGGTCAAGTCGTAGAACGAATAACATCAATCGTGACTTCAGTAGGGTGTAAATTACAATGAATGATTGAATGCAAACTTGACTTATCTTTGTTTCCCCACACCAAAGTGGGCGATCACGAACTTGAGCCATACTTAGATGATTTGCTGTACTCAGATTGGTGGACAAGCTGCTTTCTCATGCGCTACCACGATTTTGTCTCCGATTGAAACGAATATCTGACGTTTCGGAACCTCATCTTATTTTGAAGGAATTTTTTTCTAAGTTTGATAAGATAACGTGTTATGTTGCCTAAAGATTACGCACCAGGATCGCGCGCACGCGTTGACAACACGATGACCTGGTGCTTCGGCGGTTAATCTGTGTGCGCGTTGTCGCCTGCGTAAACGCGGTCTGGCAGGGACGCGCGAATGCACGCACGCACTTTTGATGGCGTGCGTGCGTTCGCGCGTCTGCACGAAAAGGGCGCATGCTAACTCCACGTGAGGGTGACAACGCGCACGCTACAGAAACCTCGCGAACTAAACATGCCGCATTAAGGAGCGATGCGAGTCACGACCAATCTCATGATTTAGGGTCGGGATTGGCTAAAACCCGAGGTGCAACACTCCATCGAGTCTCAATAATACCATCTAGGCCGCACAAGCCTGCACTGAAGTCGGTCAAATTTGACAATATTTGGGGTTTTCATGCTTTCTTGAAACCAGTATTTTGATCTCTTGAGTGAACCCACTGGTTGTCACTAAAAAGACGCCATTAGGTTCGGTTACGTGCAGGTGGTGAATGAATCTCCACAGGATGCCTTGCAATCTTTCATTCTTTACTTTTCTTAGGATAAGCAACTTCCTATAAGTCAAATTGAGAACACGAATAATGTTGAAACTTGGGGGTTTAAAAGTACTTGAATTTAGCGAGCAAGTTTCATTTAAAAGATATTTCAAATCTGTCACACTGTGCGACTTCAAGTATCTTTTCCCTTGGGGGCGCTGCTGCACATAAAAATGATTATCGGCATTGTGAGTGTGTTTTATAAAAATACGTCAGTGGTAGATTTATTTAGGTAGTCAATTATAGAAAAAGTTATTTTCACGAATCAATGTAACTACATGCTTTTACATATTATGCCAACATTTGAAATAGAACCCAATTAGACTTTGCTTTACTGCTAAAATGTCGCAAGCATTGTAAAAGAGCAATTCACAAATTCGTAACTACGTCCAATAAACTAGTTGAAACATTCATCGAGGATATGGATGGCCACTGTTAGTGACACAAAGCGACGCATCGACTTCACTAAGATATTGCTATACGACTGGCATCTAACCCTTCCTCACCGAGGAAATATGGAGTTGGACATGATCCAGGCAATTCAGTTTCTGTCAGGCAAGTAATAGGCTTCAAAATGTCCTCGATTTTCCACAACTTGCTGGGACTCCACCTTTTATAGTAAGAAATATTTTTCTCAATTCACGTGCTACCCACATACCCTTGGATTACACAGTGGCAAAGCTACTTTTAAAAACCTTAACACGAATAACTGAAATCGACTAAATATGATTCACAAAAAGGACTCCCGCTACCTCGCAAACTTAGTGCTTCTTTACTGCTCTTAGTTCAGCTAGCAAAGCCATCCGACCGTATAATGCAATTTGTAATATTCCGAGATACTATTTGTTCACAAGTAAGTAGAGACCGATAAACATACTCAGCTCGTTGACAATGGCAAGTGCCACTCGTGCATACCACGCAAGACTTCCAAAAACTTAACATGGTCCGTTATCAGAAAGCGTTGCTTTTGGCAACGATCAATGCAACTGATGTAAAATTAACTGCCAGGCACATCCTGAGTTCAAAATCCTTTCGATTCACGTCGTTTGGTGTGTAGAGTTCAAGCTACATGGTGGACGTGCAAGCGAATCTTGTACGTGTGCGCCTGCATGACGTCTACCGCAAGAGCATGCCACGAATTCCGCCCTCAATTAAAGGCGGACACACGCAACGTAAGTTACACAACTTTGATTTCACTTTCTCGATGTTTACTTGGTTACGGTCGGCTACTCAGATGCCCTACTACAGTAACACGCAGCAACATATCAAACTCCTCAAACGGAGGCAACTGCGCACCACCATCCCAACCAAGCGCCCAATCCCATTAAGTAAATTTCCACCCGAATACCTTTCAAAAAAACCGTAGCCGCATGAGCGCAACATTGGCTTCGGTTTAGCGGCTGCACGCGACGAATACCAGAACGTGAAGAGGTTATTCCAAAGCTAAGTGGACCAAATTCCTCTATCCAAGAGTTTACCGAAGTTACTTTGCGACACAACGATTCTGTGGCACATAGGCATGTCCCAATTTCAGCCACAAACTCCAAGCATTCATTAGCACTTCCACGAGTCATGTCAGCCCACTAACCCTCGCGTCCATCGCCCCAAAACTCCGGAGTAAGGTTTACGGTGTTTAGAATTCGCGTAAGGCCTTTATATGTCAATAACAAAATATTCACTAAGTGCCAAACAGAGCAATTTGACGCTAGGCGTTTCAACGCTCTGGATATAATTTTTTTGTCCTGGGAAAGGCTCAAATACGTGACAGAAGAGCAAGTACCGAGCCCTCTAGCTAGCTACGAAGAGAACTAAGTTGTTACCGATCCATATATTTCAAAAAATTCTCACAGTTTATCAATATAGTTGTCAATGCTAGGAACTGCCTCCGGCTTGCCCTTGCGTTTCCTTATGCTGGCGACGAGGGCACCTGGCTTGGAGTTGGGGTCAAGAGGATTTCCAGGATACAATTGCCAGTGGTCAAACTGACACTGTGGAAAAGCTTTCCCGCTTGTAGCAGCGCGAAGTTCAGCCGTGAAACCTAAGACGATAGTTGAGAAACCAATAGTGCCTTACCAAAAGACTCGTTAACGGGTAGGTGTGCCTTCACTATGTATATGGGGGTGCCAGGAGTCTGTTCTTCGCTGAAGATTACACCGCGTTTTTTGTTAAGGACACTGTAGATACCGCCTAACGCATCCTCCGGGGTTTGGATTTCGCAAACATAAATGGGCTCCATTATGGCAGGCGACGCGGTCAAGCAAGCGCCATAAAAGCATCGTCTCGCAGTAGGTATAATCTGACCACCACCTCTGTGAATAGCATCAGCGTGCAGGACGACATCCTCAATGTTGAACCGAATACCACGCATGGTTTCCTCACACAGCACACCATCCTTGGTTACAAACTGGAAAGCGGCAACGACACTGTCTTTGATATCATTCAGATATTGTACACCTTTGGTGACATCTACCACCACGTTGGGACCGGTACGGTCGGGTCCAAAGCACCAAATTTTACGAGCGTCAGTGGCATCCCAACCATGGTTTTCGGTGAGAACGCGGCCACGGGCCTTGGGATCCTGTTTGGCAGAAACAACATTCTCGTCAATGTCGATGGTTAGATCCTCTCCCAAAGGCTCGGCCCTGAAAAAGAGACGATTGTGCTTGTTTGGAGACTTCGACAGAGCCTGGACGGAGGAGACAGCGGTGACTGTCTCTCTGTAAGACACCACTGGCTCAGACTTCTTGATTGGAATGCAGGCATGGTCTTCTTCCAAATCTTTCAAGCAGATTTCAAGATGTAGTTCGCCAGCGCCGGCAATAATGTGTTCACCAGATTCCTCGGTTTGGATGAGGACCATAGGGTCGGATTTCGCAAGCCGCTTAAGGCCTTCAACCAATTTCGGCAAGTCACTAGGGTTTTTACAATCGACGGCAACACGAACGACAGGGCTTACGCTAAATTTCATTTGACGCATATTATGTGCGCCAGCAAATGTCGTAATAGTGCCCGTCTTAACGATAAACTGATCAACACCGACGAGGCCACAAATATTTCCACATGGTACATCCTCGATAGCTTCTGTGTACCGACCCATCATGAGAATTGTGCGCTGAATAGACTTTTCGCAACAGTCCTCCTTTTTACCGGGCACGTAATTGGGTCCCATGATGCGAACTTTTTGGCCAGTTGCAATCGTGCCAGAAAAAACACGACCCAATGCATAGAAACGTCCCTTATCAGAAGTTGGGACCATCTTACTGACGTACATCATGAGGCAAGCGCTGGGGTCACAATTCTTGATACCCATGGCCGCTTCATCATCTTTCGGACCTTCATATAGCAACTCCATTCGGTATTTCTGTGATACAAACGGGCTAGGAAGATGGATGCAAATCATTTCCAGTAAACAATCACCCGCAGGTAGCCATTTGTGCATTATGGTTTTCAGAAGGACTTTGGCCGGCTGATCCTGTTCCTCGGAGTTAAGTTTAACATCAATTGCCGTTAGCATTTTTTGTATCATTGCCTTATCTTCGTCTTGAACTGCGCGGAAAATTTTTGTGATTGGATCGAGAATGAAGTGAACGAATGCTCGTACATCCTCGGGAGAACTCTTAGTTTTGCGCCACTTTTTCTCCTGTGAATTGAAAAAGTTGTCTCCCCACAATCGGGGCAGCAGCTTATCAGCATCGATACCCATGCGCTTGGCGTAGAACTTGGCCATCGTATGCAAAGTGAAGGCCCAGCTCTGCAGACCGGAGCCGAAGCCTACGGTACCATTAGCGGGATTCACAGTGACGTCGCCCATTGGTCCGTCATGCTCACTAAATTGCGCCACAATAACGTTTACGTTTTCCACAACTCTTGCGAGATGCTGGTACAGGGCTTCCGGATCCTGTCCCATAGTGCTAAGGGCCTTATCAACCTTATTCATAAATAGAATCGGTTTAATACGTTCAGCAATAGCCTGACGAAGTACGGTCTCCGTTTGAACACAGACGCCTAAAAACAAATATCACGAAAAGCCGAAAGTTACCTGAAACGGCATCAACAACTACAAGTGCCCCATCAGTGACACGTAAGGCAGCTGTTACTTCGGAGCTAAAATCGACGTGGCCCGGCGAATCAATTAGATTGATTAAAAAGCCACATTCGTCTTTGCCAGCTTCGTCCTTGTCAACCGGTTGCACCTTCCGCACAAAATCTAACTGCTCAGTGGTAAGTTCATTATAAAGGCTGATAGCGGTTGACTTGATGGTAATACAACGGTCTTGTTCATCTTTGCGAGTATCAGTGAAGCGAGCATCACCAGCACGGGACTCCGCAATGATTCCAGCTTTGGAGACAAGAGAATCCGTAAGTGTCGACTTGCCGTGGTCAACGTGAGCAATCACAGACATATTTCGAATGTTTTTGTTTTTCGACATAAGCCGACGGATTTCCGCTACCGTAAAGTTCACCTGCGACAAAAACACGTGTTGACGACACCACGACAATGTACATAAAGGAAGGTAAAACTCGTAAATTAGATATTATAATGAGACTGAAATGGCAAACAAACTGCTATAACAAAAAAACCGACAGACCAGAGACAAAAATTGGAGAGATAAAAAAGGATCGAACATACCATGCTTAGGCTGGTCAAGCAGTATCACAAGTGCACACCGGATAGGCCTTCGAAAAAGTGCCTAATGCCAACTCAAACAAGCATTAAATTCCAGTAAAAAATAAAAATTCAAATTTTTCAAGCATATACACAACATATTTATCCTTTTGTCTACTAAAAAACTTCAAATATCAAAAGCACTCTTGAAATAAATATTCAATCATAAAAAAGCAACTAAATTAATGACACTAAAGAAATTATAAAAATACTTTAATACGTGCAAATTTCCAATAGATATTTTAAAAATAAATTTCTAATTTAAACCAAAATAAGTATTTTATACAAAAAAAAGATATTAGTAACGACCTGCCTGTCAAAGAGAATCAAACATTGATTAAATGCCAGAGGTTTGCAAGAACAGTAATTTGGCACAGAACTAAAATCAGACAATATGCAAATAAAACGTCTGCTATTTTTCGTCGAATCATGCTCATCTTTACACCCTTTAAGTTGCTCTTTCATCGTTGCACTTTACTTGACCCGGACTATTGTTGACATGAATAAAATAACTCATGAATCCTATTTCACATCGTGAAAATTACATACAATCACACACGATTGCTTATTACTATGGTTTAATTATTATGATCATTCGCCGTTATTTAAACAGGTAATACGTCAATCTAAATCCTACACTAGCGTGTTGTCGACATCTCCATTTTAGACACTCATATGTGTCCAAAACAGAAGTTACTTCGATTTTAGAGTCTCACTCTGAGAACAGACCGTGTTAATTTTACAGCTTCAACACAAAGCTCAAGTATGGCCACATATTTCACTTCCATGGTGTATTTGGCATCTTTTCAGTGCCGTTCTTTGCTGCGTATAACAAAGAAGTGCTCAAAATCACCAGAACCTGCAATGTCGATAGCAAAAGGGAGTGGAAAAGAGAGTTGAAATATCCCCATAATATTTGCCATGATATCCGTATTACTTGCCCTCGTTGTCCCTATGGTCTAGTTTGAAGGCTATGCAGCACAACAAATTCATTCACACAGTGTTTAGTACCTGAGCCGTAGTGCGGAGACGAAGTGGGAAAAAAAACTCCGTATGGACACGCCGTGGGCCAGAACCGTCCAACAGCCGCCGTTCACCCGAATCCCCTACACTATCTAAGTCACCAATAATGCAGATGCTCCTCACCCATCCTTGCCTGTGGTTGACCGCTTATCTTCTTCATAGGCCTTTAAAATACACACAGTCTTAGGGGCTGGTCGAACTTACCGACCTATCCATTATGGCTACGGCTTATATCGGCATTACAACAATGAGATCGGGTGGGTGTGGTGAATTTTTGGTTTGGCGCTTATCTTTTAGGATAGCATTATTTTTAATGCAAAATAATGTGCTGCCAAGAGCCTCCAGAATGGATGAATTTAAAAGTGTTCACGAAGACTGAAAGATAAATCGGAAAGAGGACAATCAAAGGGGTCCCAAATTGGAACGTACATGAGCGTTTTTCTACTCCTTGCATCCATGTCTTTCAGAGAACTGAGAAAAGCAAGCTGAGTGTGCTATTATATTGCACACATTCCAGCATTTCTCGACCTTAAATTGAAACAATTAGTACTGATCACTCGAATACTTTGGAAAATTTGTATCGCTGAGGACTAAACACAGTCAATCACAGCAAACGACCTGCCCTGATAGAAGCAGTACATTGACAATAATTGCAACAATCTGGGAAGAACGTTATAAACATTGCACGCTCACATGAATATGCTTTCAAGGCAAAAGAGGGCGTTTGCCTCGATCAACACTTTCTGACTCAAATATACAAACCACCTTTCTCCATACATAGACATATTGCATAACGCCAGCATGCGTGTGATACCAATACGTAGTCAATCACAGATATTTGCCCAGCAGCATTTTTTATGAGGAATAGGTTTCTGCGATATGGGTTTACTTTTCATGGATTTAAAATCACACAAATAATGAACATTTGGCTGCCATGTGTCCAAACGTACTAACACTTCACGGTGTTGCCTATTAGACATTTTTTCCTTGTTGGTAAATCCGGTAACACCAAATCGTGGTTCGGTTTCGTTGTTCAATCGAACACACCGAGATTGCTTGTGTAAAACCGAGAATCCAGCTCGAAAGCACAATCATCTTAACACTGAAGTATTGCATTGTATATTCTGTCCAATGTTGTGGCATAATTGATATACAAATTCAAAATGTTGCTCAGCGAGAGAGTCAGACGGTGGATAAACGCGACAAATGTTGCAAACTGTGCAAGTCGTTCTGCTAAATTTGGGCTCCATATAAACTCAAAGCGTGCTATTCAGCATCGAGACGCAAGGCAGACATCGGCGTCCGACCTCAGTTTGGGTGCCAATAATTCACAATTTGCCGACAGTGATGGGCCATGGAGTCGAGGAAGATGTGGAGGGAAATATGACACAACAACGGTCACAACGAAAATTTCGGTCTACTTACCTACGCTTTAGGCATGCTTGAGGTATCGTGCGTTAGTGCCACTACCAAAAGGGCCTATGATCCAGCCTCGATTCGAGTCACTTCTGAGCATTTCTGCTGCGATACTTCAACCACACAGAAATTAGTGGTGATTGACACTCGCCATTTCGTTCATGGAAAAAAGGCAATGTACCTACCCATAGGTCGAACAATCGCGTCAAAACGCAAATTTGAGCACTGACGTCTCTAAGCAGAAGTTTTAATCGCGAGGATACCAACAAACTCATAGCAGTCCTGCCCGAATTGAGGCAGCACGCCACTTTTTGACGAACAAAATGAGTACACATTCCTCCTTTGACCATTGTACTCATGGGAAAACTAATATCCCGCGAGTGTCAGTTTAGAAAGGCTGTGTTAATGCGGTCTTCTGGGAGGCGTTTCACTTCATGTCAGTGGGCTCGTAGAAGTTAAGTGGTATGAGTGCATACTTCGTCCAGTTCTTAGGAATTACCAATTCGACGAAAAACCATCTCCAGAAAGATCTGCTGTAAGTTTGTTGCTGTGCCTTCAGACAAATAAGGCAAGTCGTTTGGCACACCCACTCCGATACTTGGGCGTTTTGCATTTATACAGCACCCACGCAATTTGATGCATCACATTTTTGCTTTATACACCCACTAGACAGGATCAAGGGTACCAACCAATAAGCATATTCATAAGGGCCCGATAAGCTTGATAACAACTGTACCTCAGAGGAACATAAAACTCCAAATACCCTTGTCCGTGATAGGCTGATGCGAGACTAATTGACAGTAGGGATTGTAGTGAAGGAAAAATGTCAGTCAAGCACTTGACAAAAGTCCACAAACTAACCTTAAGTGTGGACACGGTGACATTTTCAATATGTGGTAGACAGTATTACCAAGAATTGTACCGACTAAGTAATAGAGCCCTCTTAAAAGTACTCTTTACCCTAGAAGTCTTAATTTCCTGTAACGTCTGTCAATGGAGTGAACGTGGCAAGTTGTCAAGTGCTAACAGCATATTCAAAAGGGGAAATACAGCTGCATTCGAGATTATTACCAATGACACCAATGTGCGTAAGGAAAAGCACTCTAGGAGAGAAGACCAAGGTAAGTAGCTCTCGGGTAGGCTTGAAGAAGATAGGGCCACTGAACGATGACGCGAGCTACCCGAAAGTGGTAGAGCAGACGACCAGAAACAGAAAGACTACGTGTTCGACAGACACTCTCAACAAATACTATGGTAGTCGATCCACGAATGAACGGCTGTGCCATTTTAGCCACCAGACAAATTGGAACACACGTCCCAGGGCCGTTGCAGAGGACCTTAAAAGGGAAAAAGATAACACTACTGGAATTATAATAGTACGAGTTAACTGGGAGAAAAAACCGACATCTTAACAAGGGTACTACATACCAGTTTTTTGTCCTCCATTTAACTTACCATATTTAATTGGTGACGCTAAGCCCTAAGTAACTAAACAAGCAGCTTGTATGACCGATAATGACTTAAGGTAACGGGGTTGGTATTATTTAAAGACTGCTCCATTTAACCGTTATCTTGCGCCATTACAGTAACTTTAAATGTAACCGTTTGATTTTAAACGCTCTGCCTACTGTCCCTGGGGCTATGACGATTTGTGGCGGCCGTAGCTAAAAGTTTTGCATCCACCGCATTAATAAGGGGCATTCGTTTGCGATGTACGCTATGCAGTTTCAGCGGAAAACCGGTGCAAGTAGCTCGAAAATCGGACTAGCATTAACACCGGAGAGGTATTTGGAATTCTGTACCATTTTGGTCCTACAACATGGATGCATCTCCTACCAGAACTCATCAGCTAACAACCTCTCCCGTTTAAAAGACGTGTGTCATTGTGGAACCTCGGATGGGAACTGCTACCACTTAAAATTACAAAACACTCTTCAGTGTAAACCGCAAATTCGGTTACAGTAAAGAGTGCTTTTACTCGATTTGTGGAAAAGTTGCATACGCAAAGGCATGTGCAGACCAACACATGATACCTCCAAAACAACAACAAAATGAAAACCGACACCAAATGAACCTACGTGTGGATAGTACCTTCATTTAATGGCCTCAAAACAATAGGTGATAATTGGTATAAAATCGCAGGTATTATAAAAGAAATAGGGTATCATAGCTTACAAGTCGAGGACGGTGCCTTAGTACAATTAAGACCGAGGCAACGATGGCAATACATGTGGTGAAAACGCTTGTGAGGTAAGATTGTCCGACTTCTCTAGCTCGAGGTAGATTTTCTACGAAAAACTGAAGAGTGAACAGCAAATGTATATTGGTCTCACATCATCAGCACCGCGGTCCTTCTCCAGGGCCTGTGCCTTGATTCCACTCAGTTCGTCTGTTGATGCTACCACATATATCCGGGGTGAATACACGGGAGGGAGCTGAGACACGTAGGAGAGCAATTCCGCAGTGTGCCCGCCTAGAGCATAGGATTCACGTAAAGGGCCGAGAGGTGCTACCTGAGCCCAAAACCACCATAGTGCAACACTGATTTGGTGACTCGAGGGATAGGACATAATACAGCAACGCGATTATTAGCCCAACAGCCACGCATAACAATTCCAGAAGCATTTTCCTGTAAAAGTCTGTTTGACGACTTGGTTTCATCAATATACGTGATACCACATTATCATATAAGAATTCGCATACACAGAAGAACAGAAGATACACAGGTTTCGAAGTCTTTATTTTAGCCTGATGGTACCGGTTATTTAATGCAATGCTGAATTTAATTAAAATTAAGTACTGATATATCCGTGACAAACGTTAATGACCTAGGAACCAGTAGAGTATCCGTAGGCGGACTTGGGATCGGAGGACATTTTTGACACTTAAAAGGGGTAACTACCAATTCCTTCAGGATAAATGTCAAAAGAAACGCAGTGAAGTACTAGTGGTTACAAATGAACTACGACAACCTATTTGACATAATAAACTGCCGCTACACTGATCGTTAAAAATTTTAACCATAGATCTATATTTTCGTGTATTTGTATACAAAAAATGGAATTATAGCACTGAACAAAAACAAGGTTGCAGTGTGATGTGGTTGTGTTGTGGCGTCGGATTGGGGCGCAGACATGTTGGACCACCTGGCCTCAGCCAATCCCGTGTCTCTCTGCGATCTAATGGCATGCGAGAAAGGAAGGCAGCCAACCAGAGAAGGACATGGATGAGATGCAGTATATAATGACCGGCGTGGCCAGCGTGGTGGACTCGGATGGAAGGCGCCTGACGTGTGGCTCTGGCTTCTGATTGGTCAATAAAGCCTGTT